AAACCCTAAGAATTATGTGGGAATAACCTATGAGTGATTGGAGTACCAGAACAGGGGGAAGGATAATAGAAAATACAGAGAGAATTGTTGAAGATTTGTTGGCAGAAAACTTCCCCGATATCATGAAAGATGAGAAGATATCTATCCAAGATGCTCATTGAACCTCACACAAGGTAGATCCCAAAAGAAAGTCACCAAGACATATTATAATCAAACTTGCCAAAACCAAACATAAAGAGTATTCATATCCCTGTCCTGCCACTCATTGGCTGTGAACTTGGGAAAACTTTTAATCTATATAAGCCTCCTGTTTAAGTTAGGGGAGCCCTGGTGGTACAGTGCTTAATAGCTCGGCTGCTAACCAAAAGGTTAGCAGTTTGAATCCACCAGCTACTCCTTGGAAACCCTATGGGGAAGTTCTACTCTGTCCTATAGGGTTGCTATAGGGTCACTATGAGTTGGAAATGACTGGATGGCAGCAGGTGGTTTAAAGTTAGGGGCCAGGCAGGAAACTGAAACCACAGCAGTTATTTTAGTGGTGAGAATTTAATATAAATAATTATCAAGTAGGTATTGGAGAATCCAGTAAAAGGGAACACTAAATTGTGGCAGAGATGGTAACTATAGGAAGCAACCATCATCCTAGGACTGAGAGAATAATGGAAGGAGGTTGGAGTATTAAAATTTAGACACTTGGAGGTGGGGGTCCTGCAGAGCTGAGAACAAAAGACCTGTAAAGAGGAACACTGGCCGGCACTGGTGTCTTCCGCGCTCAGAGGAAAAGCTGTACAGCTGGGATTCAGACCTCTGAAAAGGAGACTCTGCCTGGCTGGTCTGGCATATCTGAAGTGCCTAATGAGGGCGATTCTCCCTGTATCAGAGAAAACTGCAAACTGGGCTTCACTTTTACTACCTGGACCCAACAGGTACCACCAGGATGAAGAGTCACTGCAGGGTGAAACTGACAGCAACAGGAAGCAAACAAGAAGCCTGCCAGTCTCTTTCTAGCCTCCCTACCTGCCATTATGTTGCCTAATGAGGTGCAGCTGGCAAAGGAGAACTGTGGTTTGCAGAGTCACAGCCTCTGCATCACAGAGCAGGGTACAGAAGGTACGTTTCGACATGAGATGCAATAGCTTAATAACTAACAGAGTCTACACTTTATTTATCATCCACATATTTTTTTTGATAGAGTTTCTGGTCCAATCTTTTATTCATTTTTAAAATTGGATTGTTTTTCTTATTACTGAGTTTTAAGAGTTTTTAAAAATACATTCTGGATATAATTCTTTTATCAAATATGTGTTTGGCAAATATTTTCTCCCAGACTGGGCCTTTTCTTTCTTTTTCTTAACACTGTCTTTCAAAGAGCCAAAACTTTTATTTTTGATGAAGTACAATTTATCAATTTTTTTCTTCTATTATTCATGCTTTTTTTTTTTTTTTTTTTTTTT